ACGGACGCGCGGACCATCCTGGGCGTCCACGGCGCGCGCGGCTTCGACACGGTCATCGCGTCGGACGTGCTCTACGACCCCAAGGACCTCGGGCCCTTCTTCGCGTGCGCGGTCTCGCTCATGCGCCGCGGCGCGCCGCGGCGCCGCGGCCGCCGCGGGTCGTCGCGGGCCGCGGCCCGCGGCGCGTCGCCGCGCCCGGCGTCGCCGCGCGCGGCGGCGGCGGCGCCGCGCGCGGCGTCGCCGACGTCCGTCGCGGAGCTCGGCGCCGCGGCGCGGCCGCCGCGGCTCGTCCTCGTCTACGAAGACCGCCTCTTGGGCTTCGAGGACCTCCTCCTCGAGAGGGCGCGCGACGCGGGCCTCGTCGCGGAGAGCGTCGACTTCCTCGGCACCTTCTTCGACCCGGACCTGGACATCGTCGACGGCGACGCGGGGACGCCGGCCTTCTTCTCCGAGAACTGCGTCGCCCCGGGGAGCGGCTCCTGGACCTCGCTTCGCCTGTTCGTGTTCACGCCCCTGAGGCACTAAGAGCGCCATGCGGCCGCGCGCTACCGCGCGCCGGGAGGTTCCAGGGCCACCGGTACCGCGGCCGTCCGGAAGTCGTCTGCATCGTTGAAGATTTGCTGATTATGTTTTCATCCTCGAGCATTATTGCCGAAGTGGCTGAGAAGGCTGCCGTCGCCGCGCGTTCTCCAGCAACGCATGATCAGGGACAGCAAGGTCGTCCAGAGCGTGTGCTACGACCGAGACAGCGAAGAGGAGCTCCTCGGCGCCGTCCACCCGCAGGACGCTCACATGAACCACGAGGGGAAAAACCCACACCATGTGGGCAAGGAGGACACGCCGGCGTACCGGGCGCTGAACGCGGCGAACGTGCTGTGCACGGAGCACCGCCGCAAGGACGTGAGCGACATCTTCACGGGCGTCGACCGGCCGGCGAACACGGATCGGGTCGCGAACCTCAAGACGCGCAGCCCCTATTTTCTTCTCGGGCCCCTGGGCTGCTGCGCGTACCACTGCACGCACACGGAGCTCTTCGTCCCCGCCGGCCACGTCGGCTTCCTCATGGACGACAAGAACCAGTACCTCTTCGCGCAGCCGGGCATGGTCACGCCCGCGGGCGCGCAGATCGAACTTATGACCTGGCGGAACCTCAAGATGATCTACGTCCGGGCCGTCGCGCCCCAGCCGGCGCCCGCGGGCCTCAGCGCCGCGGCCGTCTCCGAGCCGCCCTGGCCCGAGCCGCAGCCGCGCGTCGAGGCCATGGAGATCTTCGCCGGGTCCGGGTCCATGTCGCGCGCGCTGCGAGACGGCGGCGCCTCCGTCGTCGCCACCTGCGAGAACGACCCGCGCAAGGCGGGCGCCCTGGCCAACAGCCTTCCCGGCGTCCACAACTACGGTGACATCCACGACGACTCCATCGTGGGCCACGTCTGGAACCCGCGGACTACGCCCGGGCGCTCTCTCACCATCGTGCTGGGGCAGCGGTGCCGCACAGCAACGAAAATTATATCCGCTCACTTTTTGATGATGATTATGGGCAGCTATCGGTGATGCTGCCCTCTCCCTACGTGCCCATCGGCGGGCCGGCGCCGCGGCGGCGCGGCGCGGTGGCCGTCGTGCTCGTCGCGGCGGCGCTGGTCGTCGCGTTGCAGCTGCCGCGACTGCGAACGGCCGCGCCGTCCCTCGCGACGAC